AAAATGATGAACCTATTCCAAGAAATGGGGATTGCTGGCTTGGCCTATAAAGCTAAAGGCTTATCGGACAAACAAGCATGTGTCCTCCTCATTTCTGGATTTAATGGAGCACTAAAATATTGGTGGGATAATTCTTTAGATACAATTTCTCAAGATTCTATTATCAACCATACTGAAACTAGACGGGTAGAAGGAGAAGATGGACTTTATGAAGAAGAACAAATCCAAAATGCCATAGAAGTACTATTACATACAATGACTATGCATTTCGTAGGAAACCCTTCTGAAGAATTAACCAGTAAAAAACTTGTTTTAACAAATCTTAGATGTCCAACCCTAGGAGATTTCAAGTGGTATAAAGATATATTTATAACCAATATATTCCAAAGGAATGATTGTAATCAACCCTTTTGGAAAGAAAGGTTTATTTCAGGATTACCATCATTCTTTGCCGAAAGATTAATAAGTATATTAAAAGACTTTTCTGGAGGACAACCAATACCTTGGGATTCTATAACTTACGGACAATTATTTGCTTTCGTTAAAAAGGAAGGCTTACAAATTTGTCAAGAACATAAGGATAAAAAACAAACTAGTAAATTTAGATTTGGTGAAACTATGGGCTCATTTTGTGAGCAATATGGTTATCACCGTCTCACTCCACCTTCTAGAGAAAGACGAAAAACTTATAAACAAAATAAATTTACACCTTCACGACCATATAATAGAAATAAAAATTTCTCAAAAAAGTACTTTAACTCTTACTATGCAAAAAATAAAAAATTCAGGAAACCAGCTCAACAAGAAAAACTTGTTTGTTGGAATTGTAAACGCCCTGGACATAAATCTTCTGACTGTAAAATGAAAAAGAAGATTAACGAAAATTTCCACGATCAACAAGATATTAGAGAAAAGTTAGAAAAACTATTACTTTCAGAATCAGAAAACTCTGAAGAACTTAGTAGTGAACCCTCTTTAGATATCATAGTAAACCAAAGCGATTCATCGTCTGATCATTCACAAGATTACTCCGATGATATTTGCAACTGTAAGACAATAAATGTAATCACAAAAGATATAGATAAACATTTCCTAATAGACATCATAGATAAAATAGATGATCCAGAAACCAAAAGAGAATATTTATTAAAACTAAAAGATATAGTACATAAAGAAAACCAATTATCTACTCCACAACCTTTTAGCCTTAGTAAAATACTTGAAAAATACCATTGTCCTACTTTGTTTAAACAAGTAACTACAGGAAAGTTACAAGGAGAAGTTAAAAATTTAAAGGCACAAGTAAGAATTACAACAAATAGTCCACCAACAACAATTAGAACAATTAAAAATAAATGCTAGGATAGCCTTGATAGAACCAAGAGTTCATCAATTCGTATCTCCTATTACCACTGAACCATCTGCAAGTAACCCTGAAAACCAAGAAAAGACAAAAGATGAGGAAGAATATATCCAAATCATAGACAAAATAAACTATCAAAAATGGTATACAAAGATTACTTTACATATAGGATATGATTTTAAATTAGAAATAATAGCATTATTAGATACAGGAGCAGATTATAACTGTATTAGAGAAGGAATAGTTCCAACTAAGTACTATGAAAAAACCTATGAACGACTTAGTGGTGCAAATGGGAGTAGTTTAAAAGTTAATTATAAACTACCCAAAGCAAAGATTTGTAATTAAAGCTATTGTTTTAAAACACAATTTATCCTAGTTAAAAATTTAAGTCAAGAAGTTATATTAGGAACTCTCTTCTTCATACAAATTTATCCATTCAAAGTCACAGAATTAGGAATCACTACAAAAATTGTTGGAGAGAAAATAATTTTTGAGTTTTTCTCTCCTATGAAAACTAAAGAAATTCTAGCCTTACAAAACTCCACCATAGAAAAATCTATAAATTTAATTAATGGGAAACAAAAACATATTCAATATCTGCAACAGGAAATAAAATATCAACAAATAGAACAACACTTACCCAATCCACAAATAATAAACAAAATTAAGAAAATAGAAAATGAATTATTAAGTCAAATATGTTCTGAAATCCCAAATGCATTTTGGGAAAGAAAAAAGCATATTGTTGAAATTCCTTATGAAAAGGATTTCAATGAAAGAAATATTCCAACTAAAGCTAGACCAATTCAAATGAATCAAGAACTTTTAGAACATTGTAAGAAAGAAATTCAAGAATTATTAGATAAAAAACTAATAAGGAAATCTAAATCACCTTGGAGTTATTCAGCCTTTTACGTTAATAACCAAGCAGAAAAAGAAAGAGGAATACCTCGCCTAGTGATTAACTATAAACCTTTAAACAATGTTATACAATGGATAAGGTATCCTATACCTAATAAAAGAGACCTATTAAAAAGACTATATGATGCTTGCATATTTTCAAAATTTGATATGAAAAGCGGATTCTGGCAAATTCAAATAGCCGAAAAGGACAAATATAAGACAGCATTCACCGTCCCGTTTGGGCATTATGAATGGAATGTCATGCCCTTCGGTTTATAAAATGCACCTTCTGAATTTCAAAATATTATGAATGAAATATTTAACCCTTATTCTACCTTTTCTATGGTTTATATAGATGATGTATTAATATTTTCAAAATCTATTGACCAACATTTTAAACATCTATATACTTTCTTAAACATAGTCAAAAGACATGGATTAGTAGTATCCGCAAAAAAGATGCAAATATTTCAAACAAAAATAAGATTTTTAGGGCATAATATTTATCAAGGAACTATAACACCTATATCTAGGTCTATAGAATTTGCAAATAAATTTCCAGATGAAATAAAAGATAAAACTCAATTACAACGATTTTTAGGATGTTTAAATTATATATCAGACTTCTTACCTATTATCAGAAAAATTATTCAACCATTGTTTCAGAGATTGCAGAAGAATCCAGTATCGTGGTCTAGTCAGCATACTAGTATAGTTCAAGATGTTAAGAAAAAAGTCACCACTTTACCGTGTCTAGTTATTCCACATCCTAATGCATTCATGATAGTAGAAACCGATGCATCAGAAATAGGATATGGGGGAATACTTAAACAAAAGATGTCAGAGTCTACTCAGGAGTCAATAGTCCGTTTTCATTCGGGAATTTGGCTTGGACCTCAAAAAAATTATTCTACAGTTAAAAAGGAAGTTTTATCTATAGTAAACTGTATTTCTAAATTTCAAGACGATTTGATAAATAAAAAATGTTTACTACGAGTAGATTGCAAATCCGCAAAAGAGATTTTACAAAAGGATGTTAAAAATTTAGTTTCTAAACAAATTTTTGCAAGATGGCAAACAATTTTATCTGTTTTCGATTTTGATATACAATATATAAAAGGGAATAATACTTGTTTACCTGATTTTCTAACAAAAGAGTATTTACAGGGAAAATCTCAAGACCTACAAAATGAGTGAACAAAAGAAACCGATGTCCGCAACAGACTACATCAAGAATCAACTGCATCTACAAGGAAAACAAATAACCACCAGTAATCAATACTCTGCATTAGCAGAATTCCCTCCTTTGTCCTATGCAAAAGCTGTTAACCCAATACCTCAAAAATTAACCACTCCCTCCTCCTCACAAAAAACTACTGACCAAAAATCCTCCTATTTCCTTAAACCACACCGCCAACACCTCTTCACCACCTCCTTCACCAAACCAATATTATTGAAATACATAACCCAATTTACCAATCGTATATTTTACGAGGATAGCCAATACCTTACAGACAACCTTACCAAGAACCGTACTTTTTATGAGTTTATCCTCGTCGATACCAAGTCAGTCGAAATAACCCACCATACAGATAAAACCAACCCCAACCTCATCTCATACTCCACCTGCAAAATACTAAGGATATGCAATCCTAAAGACATCGGGTTCTTTACCTCTCACACCACTAAAGAATTCTCTGTTTCAGGGTATCATATTCCAGGATATACCTACGTAGACTACCAAAAAGCCTTTCTACATGCCTTTTAACTACGCACCTATGACCACTCTTGGTTTCTATCATTTGACTTTCATTGTCCTAAGTCAATACCAGGATGGTTCTATCTTTCCAAAACCCGAACCCACGAGAAACCCGAACCCATAGGCCCTTTACCAAAAATATCTTTCCATATTGATATGGGGGTTCCCTGGATACTATCTTGGCATTTTAACCTTATACTTTTTTTACCCGATATGCCATACTCATTAGTCCGAGAATACCGAGTAAAATGGTGGGACAAGTACAATTTAGACCGTTACTCCGTGACTCACCTTGAAAAATGGATACAAACCCATAGTCAAATTAAGCAAACCGTTACAACAATATCCCGAGCATTACCACTTATTCAAACAAAACCAACTACCTCCACCCCTAAAAAGCCAAACAGCCCGACAGAGTCAACAACTTCGTCCTCAGGATCAAAGAAAAGGAAAGGAAAAGAGAAAATCAAAAAAATCTTAGAAGCCATCGATATGCAAATATCTTCCGACGAAGACGAAGACGAAGACAATATTACACAAGACACTTCACCAAACGAAGATCCATACGGCGGCCCATTACCCCAAGACCCTCTTTGTATGTAAATATTTATTGTCAAAATGTAAAATGTAAAATGTTATTAAAAAAAAAAAATCCGAAAATAAAGAAAAGAAAAGAAAAAAGAAACAAGTCTCTACAGTCTGCAGGAATATTCAAAGGAGAAGAAACAAAATTAGCAATCAAGTTGCCAGAAGAATCATACAAAAGAAGAAGAAAACAACATCATTAATCAAGACCAAGAAAAGAAGACAATATCAATAATCAATAAAAGGAGACAGCATCTTCAGGAGATAAGTCTGAAGCTTCAAGACAAAAATAAAGACATTACTCAGCACTCCCAGCACAATATCATGACACCTCATCTTTACTTTACGATAGTTTTATCATCCCTTTGTATAAGTAAGCAAGAAAGCTAGAGAGAAACACAGAGTGAATTTTCAGTGAGACATCACTTAGAAATTCCCTGCACTTCTATACTCTCCAAAGTTTTCATCCTTGTATTTTCATCTTTGTATTTCCACTCTTTGTATTTTACTTCTTGTATTCAAATCCAGTTTAATAAAGTAAGTTTTAACCATACTTCTTATCTTTTAATTCAAACTTCAAATTTTTCTTTTACAAAGTTTAAAACTTATAACCAAAGAATTTATATAAGTTTTAGAATTTACTTATAACCTGGGATTTAAATGAACCTGGGATTTAAATGGTATCAGAGCATTTAAATGGTAGCAGAGCCAAGAAAAATAGCTAAGTATATATTGTATAAAAGCTGTTTTCTTAATACATTTTCAAACAAAAGGTTTTATGCTTAGACTAATCTTGGGTCTCTTGTTAAAAGCTTTCTACCAGCACTTGTCAAGAGAGTCGTCGACGTATGTGTTCCAGGCAGTAAGTCCTAAAGGCAGTGAAATCATTGGTAAGCCGCAGTTCTGTCCGTCCTTGAAAAGTTTGGGTTAGTTTGCATGTCGCATAGAGTCTAAGTAGAGTTTAAAGCATGGCATCTTCAGTTAGAAAATGGTTTAAGTCTAAACATATTGCTTCTTCTGCTTCTCAAAAAACAATTAATTCAAGATAAATAATGTCAAAAATTACAACTTTTAATAAAGAAATATCACATGATCAATTACCTCATGTTAATCCTGAAAATATATATCAGATAGGAACTTTTGATTTTAAAACTGCATATTCAATAAAAGAACATGAACAAACTATATCATTACAAAATGAATTTGAAGAAATTAAATTGCTTTATTATAGTAATTAGATATTTTAACTTACTGTATTACAGTATTAGTTTCTTTTAACAAGTGTATAACAAATTTTTTTCTCGGTTTTCAGAGATAATGAAATTTCACCTACCAAAAACAAATTCTACAAAGTACAACAAGAACGCCAAACGTAAGAGAAATACCAAATTTATTACTTGTATGGAGTGCAACAAGATATACGAGACGTCCAGAACCCTGCTCCATACAGAACTTTCTCATCAATTTGTCTAGAATGCCAAATATAATGAATGGAGGCTTCAGTTAAAGGAAATAGGGAATTCAACTATTCTTCAACAGTATTCAATTTTTGATGGGAATATATTTTATTTGAGTTATCTTTTGAATATTATTAGAGATCCTTGCAATTATGAAGATATCTGAACCTTTAATGGTATATATGACACTTTCAAAGAAGCTTGCTATGCAAGAGGTTAGTCCCGTTCTATTACTTTTAAGAGCATCATTATCGCTAGATTATATAATAGGGTTTTTAGTGATTTATTTAATATTAAATTTAGGAAAGATAAAAAGAAGAGAGAAAAAAGAGAGAAATTGCTGGAGAAAAAAAGAAGAAAGAGAAAGGAAGAGAAAATTTTCTGACCAATGAAAAACTGACACAAGAATGGTTTCTTAAAGATCCCAAATAAGAAACTCTCTTTAACAGATTTGGGCTTCTCTTAATTTTTAATTGTTTTTGGGCTAAGAAATCTACACAAGGACCTGTGATAATGATGGTCTAAATGTCAATCTTAATTTTAATTTGAGAACTGCATGAAAAATCTTTATTTCAATAAGTTGTTTCTTTTTTGTTGTTTTTATTCGTCTTCTATGTTTACAGAACTTATTAAGTGGTAATTTATGAAATACGCAGTTAAATTATTTTCAAAATCATAAATACTACATCTGCAGCAGTTAGATATTAGATAATCAATACGAGAGCCAAAAAATCCAATTTTTATAAAATTTCGCATAAATTTTAAATTCTATCATCTTTGAACAGTTAATACACCGTTATTATCGTAAATTGGAAGTATAATTTATGCGGTTTATTCGTAAATTTTTTTCTAAAAAACAAATATCTCAAAAATCTCAAATTTACAAAGAAAATATTTGAAATTTGAAATTTTAAATTTGATATACAACTGACATATATGACTATTATATTTCTGAAATAAAGTGCTTTCAAAGAAATGCAAATGAAAATGTATTATCTAAATTAGCGGTTAAATAGGAAAAACGTTATAGAAAAATATTTCGACTTCCACTTAATAGGATTATATTCGTTAGATAATTTGATTTTCAAAAACTTTCGACATTACTTGGATCTCACTCTACAAGAAGTGCATAGTCAGTACTCTTTATTTAATTTGGTAGAAAGTACTAACATTATATTTCTTGTCTAGTGAGCACTGACAAGTAATACAATGAAAATATTTTGTTTCCACTCAGACCTGTAAGAACTAAAATAAATAAACTATTGCTACTGATCTGATCTTAGATAGACGCACAAAAAATCCGATATGATCAATACCGACTACATGTTTCATTTTGAACATATGTTCATTGTGCGTCTGTCTGAGGATCAGATCTGAAGAGATAGTTTAGAAAAAAACTTAGAAAAATAACTACTTTCTATTTTCTATTACAGGTCAGAAACAAAACGAAAAGGATTATCTGATATAAATTTGTTTCTGTGCATCTCTCAGAAAATCAGAACAGAAAAAGAGTTTATAGGCATTTTCTTCGAATATAAAAATTTAATTGTTGGTTAATTGGAAAAACTTCTCTTCTAGTATTTATTTATAGAGTGAGTAGAGAGTGATCACTTTGCATTTTTTCCCATATATTTTCATATTTCCTCAAAAGTCTTTTGTAATAAAACCAATTAACTAACATTTGACCGAATTCTCATTGATTCCCAAAGAAGATGCATTTTGTTAACATTAATTCATCGTTATCTAACAATCAATTTTTTTTCTTCAATATACATATTGGCTAACATCAATAAACAAAATAAATGCAACATACTTCCACCATTAGATGTGAAGTCTTCTCAAACATGATCTACGACTTTACTCTCTTCATTCAACATAAATATGATATATATTAGAATAAACTCCAAACATGAGCCTATCAAAACCCAAACTACAAACTATCAATATACTTAACATCGACCCAATATACTTAACAAAACCCAGTAACATTCAATTTTTAGAAAAACGTTCAATATCCTAGTACTCTGAAAGTGGATATAATAAGATAATTGATATACCCATATGTATTTGTCAAAGATATGAGTCAATGAGAGTCTTGATATGAATAAAATAAAATCTCTTGCAGAGTTATCAGAAGTCGAAATTCGGAAGAAATGAGTTTGGAAAGACAACATTGTTCTCGAAATTGTAAAACTAAGGAAAAAGACGTTATCTCAAAATTTAGCATGAAGACCAAATTGATGAAGAAATATCCACTATGTATTCAGCTTTTATTCTCCGATAAATTTAAATTATAGATTTTCTGTTATTTATACAAAAATATATTTTTGACTGATCATCCACTATATTTTGTGAAAGTATTTGGTTAATTGATTAGAGTGAAACTGTATTTATTCGCATTAAGAACGAATAAGTTTGAGCTTTCTCCAAGATTGGTTTTTGGTCAGGAGCCATATACTTTCCATCTAAAGGTATTTGGATATAATGTCGCTCCACCACTCGGATGTTTTGGAAAACATACGTAAAATGATGATTAGCGTGGAAAAAGCCGTAGAGACAAAAGCTAAAATATCTTGTAAAGAAGTAACTGGACCAGTAGTCCATCCTATATATTAAATGAGAATGTAGTTTAATAAAAAAATCCGATTTGTTTTAATTTGATTGGCTTAGAAAAGCTCCCTTGCCAACGTCAATGATGACGTTTATTCCACGTCAAATGTGACATGGCAAGGGCGCTAGCTCTGCGCAATTTCATTGGATGCTGATGCTGATGTGTAATTTCTGTCCAAATTTTTTTGATCTAAAAAAAAAGAGAAAATCATAAACGGATAAACATGCGGATCTTTATATCCGACCGGCCCAATTATCTGTATTTTAAAAACATCCTTTCACCCAATACTTCATACAGACCCATTTATCAAAAAATTTTAAATTATGGTTTTAAAAAACTTTTCCGCAAAAAAAAAATTTGAATTTTTTCCCAAAAAGGAAGATTACATTAACTATAAGCAAGATTTACAGAATATACAGAAACCTTAATATTTCAAAAAAAAAACTAGAATTTATCTTACATTTTAATACTATACTTCAATTTTGGCAATTAAATCAATTTGAATATATTGATTCTCAAATATTTCAGCAACAATACCTACATCTACACACATTCCGAATATCCATATCCTTCATTTCATTCTCTTTTTCAAAATAATTTCAATCCCGCCTAATATCAATTTTAAAATGTTCTCATTGACTTCCTCTCCCTATATATACCACCTATCCTAAACCCTAAAACTCTACCATTCTCATTCACAAAAATGGCTTTAGTCCGCAGATGTTCGGCTGCTATAGTTCCATTTACCAAATTAGATCAATCAAGTGAAATTCAGAAAGTTAGAGCTACTATATTTTCACTTTGGAAAGTCAAGAACAGGAAGTTTGGCTTTGTTATAGAAATGGTATTGGTTGACAAAGAGGTTTGTATGCGATCTTATGTATTTTGTTTATTGTTATTTAACCAATCTATAGATTATATAGTAATACTATTTATGTGTGATTCACAGGGCACTAGGATTCACGCTACTGTTGATGAAGAATTGATCGCAAAACATAAAGGCATCCTTATAGAAGGAAAATCACTTTCTATTAATTGCTTTATCATTAAAGAATACTATGGTGATTTTAGGACTACTCTATTACCATACAAGATCGTTTTGTGCAGAACCACCTGTGCTAAAGAGATTAATGATTTTCCATCAGACTTGCCGGAAAAATATTTGTCTGATTTCAAGTCAATCAAGGAAGTCAAACTCGACAAAAACGTCCTCATCAGTATGTCATCATCGCGATTTTGATAATTATATTCTAATGTACATATTTATCATTGTATACAAATATTTTGTCTTCAAGATGTCATTGGACAAATTGTCACTGTGGGGAGTATGGAAGTTATAAAAACTAAAGGCAGCGAGAAATTGATGATAACACTCCGGGATACCAAGTGAGTAGTTATGATATCATACCAAAATAGACATAACAATATTTTAATAATGGAACGCTAATATGTTTATTGCTGAAGCGATGTCCAACTGAAATGTACACTATGGGGACAATATGCAAAAGCAACTGTTGAGTACACTGACAAACATATGACTGCTATTGTTGTTTGTGTAATGCGATTTGTCTGTATAAAAGAGTACAAATGTTAGATCACTATATCACCTATTCATATGTACACAGTTTGTAGAGATTGGTATTAGATTAGTTTATTAATTATTCTTATTTTATGTTTTTCGGGTATAGGTGACATTTCAATATCAAACGCTTTCAACTCCACCAAAATTTTATTTGATCCTGACGTCAAGATCGTGAAAGACTTCAGAGAAAAGTATGTTATGTGACAACTTTAATATCATTTTAACATTGTTTTATTTATATAATTATTTTATACGGTTTTGTAGGTTGCCAAAAAACAATCAAATGATTGTGCATGCTGAACAGAGTTATTCGACTTCTTGGAGTGGTGCTATTGACTACCGTGAATAATTTTTAGGTGTGAAGGTGGACGATAGCTGGAATTCGTGATACAAAAGTGGTATGAGCTATATTTTATTGATGGTACAAATATATTTACATTTCACTATATACATATTAATGGTTTTGTTATCGCTTGACAAGATTGTAACATGCATAACGGTCAAAGACGTTGACACTTCAAAGCTGTGGTATTATTGAGCATGCAAACCTTGCAACATCAAAGTTTTAGAGCAGGACATTATGTCTGATGATGAAGATTACGATAAGAGGATTCCTCTTTTCAGTTGCAAAAAATTGTGGAGATATTTATTCATATGATACAATCGTCGCAAGGTAATACAATCACTACAAAAAAGTGTGTTTTACATCATTTTTTTTTTATATTTGCATCAGTTATAAGTGATGTTAAAGAATTTTACATCACTTAAATAAGTGATTCTGAAAGTGGTGATGCAAATATTTACATCAGTTGTGCAAATATTTTACATCAGTTTAAGAAAATGATGTAAATATTTGCATTAATTAAACAAATGATGTAAATATTTGCATCAATTAAGAAAATAATGTAAACATTTGAATCAATTATTGTAATCGATATTAATTTGTATCGATAGCAAAAAATAATGTTAAAGATTTGCATCAGTCAATATAAGTGATGGTAATATTATATAATAATTATCAATTTTAAAATACATATAATAATTTAAAATTCGTATTACATTAATTTATTTATTTTAATATTGGTTTATAATTATTTTATAAATAATTTAAACATTTTACTTATGATAATATATCAATATTGATTTTTAGAATGGTCGATGTGGGACAAACATCAAAGTTAATTAACAAATGACAAACATCAGTTATCTAAGTGATGTGTTTTCATATTTTTGAATCACTTTTCATAAAGTAATATAAATTAATTAAAATTTGCATCATTTATTATTGAATTGATGTTAAATTAACTAATAATAAAATCAGTTACATAACTGATGTTAAATTACATATTTTTATATCAATTGGTATTAAGTGATTTAAAATAATATCATTTATTTTAGTGATACAAATTAAGTGATGTAATACATACTTTTTTTTTTGTAGTGAATGAATAGTCCCATAAAGTTAAGAAAACATTACTTATTTCATTAAGACTTTCTTTGGTAAGATATATAGCAGATATAGCAGAATTTTTTAATGTATACTTTCTCTGATTGAATGGATAAATGTTCGCCTTATTTTATTACATTGATTCTTCCCATCGTACATTTATTCCGACACTACATTACATGTTGATTCATGTAACATTTAAATAACTCACTCTTCTGTTTCCTTACAAACTATGTAGGTACTATATTGTATTATTTGTAACTGATGATTCAGACGTCGATGTCCGCTTCCTGATGTTTGATGACATTGCTCAAAGACTGTTAGGTCATTCAGCTAAGTCTATAATGGAACAAAATGATGAGGTTATTTGTTAAATAATTGTATACATTTTGCATTATTTACATTTTCTGAAATAATATTAATCCATTTAATATAATGCTGCGCAGGATTTCCCAAGAGGGTTTCCTGATGGCTTGACAAAGCTCCTAATCATGAGGATGCTTTTCAAAATAACAGTTTCAGAAGAGCATACAAAAGGAAGCCAGTCTCCATATATAGTAGAACTATGGTCTCAAGATGTCGATATTATGACTGAGTGGGATTCTCGATCAGATGTAATATATAAGATAAATTTTACAGACTTTTCAAGCTCGCTTATCTGATCGTTTAGTTAAATTCAGTCGTCAACAATGTTTTATATTTCAGCAACCGTTGATACTTATGAGTTCTGACGAACTTGAGAATCTATCGTCTGGATCTTCACTCACTCCTTCATCTAAGAAGCTAATTAAGAGTCCCGACTATTTTGATAAAGGTGAAAGATATGTTAACAAAAAGCGACCTAAGCAAGAGATCCCGATGAAGTTATGAAGAAGCAATAAATCATAATAAACTTATTGCAGAAATGCATCGCTGGTGATTGATTATTGCTTTTGATCTTTATAACAAATTTGTCCAATGGGTGGATAATGTTTGAACTCTATTTGTTATTTTTTGCGGTATTTGTGGAAAATTTTTGGCATATTTTTATATAATTGTGGAACTTGAATGTTGCCCTAGAATTTTTTGTCTAATTCAATTTTTTGAGACTTTAATTTGTGATTTAAATTTTTTTGGTTCAACCAACTGTCATAAATTTAGCAAGAGTTTCAATTGAGACGACATTAAAACCATATTTGTTATCTGTCTATTATTTACAAATTTTAAAGTATATTAATAATGTTCTAAATGATTTAAATATACAGTAAAGAATCTTTGAAATGTATTGCTTGGGATAACTTGTCAAGAAAATTTGAAGAACTTTGGTGGAATCGTGAAAGATCTTCTAGGCATATTATTGTATTGCGATTTTTCTCTTTCACTAGATGGAGAGGTAACTAAATAGTAACTACCTCATTATTTGATATTGTTAATTAATTAGAAGTTTTACATATATTTTTTTCCATATACTGAATATGTCTATGTAATTAGATGAATGGATAGTTGATTCGGAAAGATTCATATCTGATATTCTCGAGGATCCTCTTACCTCAGAAGTGGAAAGAGCAAAGTTGAGGTATGTTTATTCCATCTTTGATATTGTATCATATATATATATATATATATATATATGTATAATGATCAAAAATCCTAATATTATTTCACGCTTGCAACTTCAATTGATTTTACTCCGGTCCACGATGAATATGACGACCAGTCTCAGTAAAAGAGATTATTGTTTCCTATTTCTTATTTTTATAGTGTTAAACTTGGAAATCTTAACTTCTATATTATTCTGATTGAGATAACTTATCAAATGACAATATATATATATATATATATATATATATTTTAAACAATTTAATTGTGTTAGCATTTTTTCGTGAATCATACTCTATTTTTTTCAACAAAAAAATAACTATGATATTAAAAATTTGAATTGTCTGAGATATGTGTCTATATTAAAAAAATAGAGTACATTCCGGTATTGTACACTCATTAATTATTTGTAATTAATGAAAGGAAGTAATTGACTTAATTAAAGAGAAGTAGTCAGTACCAGATATGACATTTTTCTACTATTTTCACATATTTTTTTATATATATTTAATCAGTATAAAAGTTAAATATACCTATGAATTGAATGTAACCAATTTGGTTTGCTCGTAAGTCACTTGGTGCAATAAATATCAAAGGTTGCAATTTATTCTAATTTTACAAAACAACACAACCTTTCAACCCCTATACTTGCTTTGCTATACATATAAAGGACCAAGTAAAAAAACGTCTCGCCATCTTAACTAAAAAAACCCTAAAGTATCAGAAAACAACCACTTTCCTCAAACATGCCTTGCTATTGTACCCTTGAGTATCTTTCTCCCACAAAATCTGACTCTAGAATTTTTATAAATGTTCTACGAGTTTGGGAACACTTCAACTACCGTAATCAACGCCAAGAATTGTGTCTTATCCTCGGTGACGAAAATGTAAGTTCATCTTTTTGATTTTTTTTTTATTCTGTTGCATGTTATGAACATTTAAACACATGAATCTCTAAAATGATTAATTGGTTCACGAATTTAGGACTACAAAATAGAGGCATCAATAGATCAGGATCTTATTTCTTCGCTCGGTCCAAAGTTTAAAGAAGAAGAATGGAATTATGTCAAATTCTTCAACGTTGTCAATGCGTTCAGATCTTTCAGAAATACTATAAACTACCACTTCATCAACATGAACGCCGATACTGTTGTAGACAAGACCTTTCAAGTCAATCCTAAGCATATGATAGATTTTATGCCATTTGATCCCATTATCCGAGGGAATTTCCATACTGAGTACTCTATCGGTTAGGCTTCTCACCTTATTCAATTAAAAAATTATTATAAATATTGTGTAATGAAATTTTTTCTTTGTAGACTTGATCAGCGTAATCATCTATGTTGATGATGAACTAAGTATTGACATTGATGACCCCTACAAGATGATTTTTGGACCTTCTCACAAATTGGACATTCAGATAAGGGACATGAAGTAAGATGTTTTATATTATCATCTATATATGTAAAGGCTAATAATTTGTCTTATGTTGTACATATGTATTTTTGTTAATGTTGTTGTAATATAATTATTTGGTTTAGTTATATTGATATGGACATCGAACTCATTGGGAAGACTGCTCTGGATTTCTGGAAGAAGTGGGAAGACATAGGTACTTATGAAACAGTCTTGACTTTACAGATGTTTCGTCTGACCTATGATTCTGAAGGTTAGTAATTAAATTTTATAATCGAGTGGAAACATTCATTTGCACTTTGTTATTATGATAATTTGGCTTCTAACATGTGTGCCCTTTATATTTTAAAATCATACAGGGAGATATCGCATAAGAAATGGTGGAGACCATTCTGAAATACTTTTCAATCCTCACATCAAAGTGGTTTCTGATTTTCTTGACTGGTAATTTTTCTAATTGGTATTAATATATATATAATATGTTTTATGGTATATTTTAATCTATTTTACAATTGTTAACTTGTATTTTATGTCAGACTTCCTTTTACCGATATCCATGGAGATCCGAGCTGGCCATAAGTTTAATCCATCTTATGTACTTATATTTTTTCGAACTGTTAAACATTCCCATTATGTAATTAATATTTTTCCACAAAACTGGGATAAATTTGAACCTACTTTCGTATATTTGTAATGAAATATTTAGTATTTATTTATGGTAATGTATAATTGCCAATTTACTTATGTTCTTTAATATCATTGTATTTATTGTTTATATATTTTACATTATATATGTATAGTTTTGGATATAACATATACCATCTATATATAGAATCTATTTGATCTTAGAAAGGTTACTTCCTTTATAGACATTTTCTTCTATCGAATAGTGCACATTTCCATAATAATAAGACATTGCCAAAATATACTACTATAATATAGTAACGGCTATTTTTTCATATTATGTCAATTTTAGTACCATAACAATTTATGTAAGTAGACTTCGACATTTACATTTATTGTGAACCTTTATGAATTTCTTTATTTATACTTATGCCAAACGATGCAACCATAACGCTTCTTATAGGCAATTTCATCAAATGCTCACTATTGATCTATTAACAACTTTTTGTATAAATGTAAATTGAAATTTATTTCCTACTGACGTTTTCATTTTAGTTTTGACAACTGACGTTAAGTTTTTCTCATAACATTTAGAGTTGAGT